AATATTAAAAACAAAAAGACTATTGCAAAAAAAAATGCTCACATCATCAGAACTTTTAGCACATCATACTTAGTGGTCACAGAACTTCCTAACAAATATAATAATAATGAAAAAGTTTAAAATGCTGTGAGAATTATCAAACTGTGACAGAGACATGAAGTCTGACATGGGGTTGCCACAAACCTTCAATTTGTATAAAAAAAAAAAAGTATCTGCAAAGTACAACGAAGCAAAGCTCAATAAACTGAAGTATGCCTGTACACTGATATTATATATTGACAGGTATATGGCTAAAACAATCTTCTCCATCTGTGCTATCCAACAGCCATTAGAAACACATGGCTGTCTAAATCTAAATTAACAGAAACTCAATTAAAAATTCAGTTCCTCAGCCATACTAGTTCAAGTGCTTAACAGCCATATATTTGATTAGATTAACACTGACTATATTGAACAGTGCACAACAGATTATTTCCATAATCTCAGAAAGTTCTATTGGATGTGCTACACCCTTACTAATTTTCTTCTCTGCTTGATAAAAACTAAGGTGTTAGTCTTCTACTGTGCTAGTGAATTGTCCTGTAGTTCTGTCAACTTTTGTTTTATACATTTTGGCGCTATGTAATTAGATGTAAAATATTAAAAATGTCCTATCAAGCTAGTAAATTGAGTCTTACCACTATAAAAGCAGTAGTACCCCTCTATCTATAGGAATATTAATATAGTTGATCGAATGTCAGCCTGGTACGTTCTCAAACTCTTTTATGTTCAACCATTTCTGTAGTTTTATCTTTTAGTTGTATCTCTTATAAACCAGATAGTGGGATTTTTTCCCCAATTCTGAAAGTATTTTGCTTTTTAACTAGAACATTTTGTCCATTTACATTTATTGTAATTGTTGATCTATTTTTATTGATTTTTACCTTGTACTATTTATCCTATCTCTCTTTTCATTATCTTTGTTTTCTTTTAGATGATTTTTTTTTCTTATTCTATTATTCTCCCTTCTAACTTGTAGGTTTTACAGCCAAGTTCTAGCCTTTTAGCAAGTATATTAGATATTACAGGAAGCACACCTATAAAGACCTTTAAATAACTGAATTCTGATCTCTCCTTTTTTTTTTTTTTTTTTTAAATGTTTTATTTCTAGAAGAGAGAGAGAGACAGCGTGAGCAGGGGAGGGTCAGAGAGAGAGGGAGTCACAGACTGAAACAGGCTCCAGGCTCTGAGCTGGCAGTCAGCACAGAGCCCGACGCGGGGCTCGAACCCACGAACCGCGAGATCATGACCTAAGCGAAAGTCGGACGCTTAACTGACTAAGCCACCCAGGCGCGCCTGAATTCTGATCTCTTCTAACTTTACATCAATGCTGCCATGTATTTTAGTTTGCCTTTATTTTTAATCTCACAAAAGAATGTTTTATTTAGTCAACATTTGTTTAGATTTACCCATTTACCTGGATCATGACACTTTCTTACATTTTCAGACTTTCCATTTGGGAAGATTTTCCTTTTACCTGAAGTATACCCTTTACGAGCTCCTTTAATGAGAATGTACTGATAGTAAAATGTCAGTTTTGTCCGAAAAAATTTTTTTTAATTTTTTTAAAGAGACAGCATACACAAGCAGAAAGAGAGGGATAGAGGGAGAGGCAGGGGGAGGGACAGAGAGAAAGGGAGGAAGGGAGGGAGGGAGAGAGACACCCAAGCAGACTCCATGCTGGTGTAGAGCCCGATGCATGGCTCAGTGTTACCACCCTGGGGCCATGCCCTGAGCCCAAATCAAGAGTTGGACGCCCAACTGACTGAGCCATCCAGGAACCCCCATCTGAAATTTTTTTTTTTACCCTTGTCTTTGAAAGATCTTTTACGGAGTGTAAAAATCTGGGATCACAACTATTTGCTTTCAGTCTACTGACATCATTCTACTTTGTCTGGCTTCCATTGTTGCTGTTGAGGAGGTGGACCACATTAATCTACGGACAGTTCATTTGAAGGTAATCTCTTTTCTCTAGATGCTTTTAAGAATTTTGTCTTATTTTCGGGGCACCTGGGTGGCTTAGTCGGTTAAGCGTCCGACTTTCGCTTAGGTCATGATGTCGCGGTTCGTGGGTTCGAGCCCCGCATCGGGCTCTGTGCTGACTGCCAGCTCAGAGCCTGCAGCCTATTTCAGAGTCTGTGACTCCCTCTCTCTCTGACCCTCCCCTGCTCACGCTGTCTCTCTCTCTCCTAGAAATAAAAAATAAAACATTTAAAAAAAAAAAAAGAATTTTGTCTTATTTTCTGTACTTTCACTATTATGTGTCTAGATAGAGATTTTTTTTTTATCCTGATTGGGATCCACTGGGTTTCTAATGTATTAGTGTTTGCATCAGTCCTACAATAGCCTCAGTCATTAGCTATTCATCAAATATAGCATCCAGTGCAGAGTGTTAAGTGCACATTTTCCTTCTGGAATATCCGTGTTTTTCTTTTTTTAACGTATTTTATTTTTGAGAGAGAAAGCAAGAGAGCAGGGAAGGGGCAGAAAGAGAGGAGGGACAGAGAATCTTAAGCAGGCTCCAGCTGACAACAGAGAGCCTAATGGGGGGCTGGAGCTCACAAACCCTGACCTGAAGTCAGACACTTAACTGACTGAACCACCCAGGCACCCCTCAATGTTTTCATTATGGAATTTCAATATCCAAAATCTTTGAAGGCCTACTTTCATCCATTATTTTTACCACCTTTTCCTTGTAGTTTTCTTTGCTGTTTTGGTAGTTTTTTGTTTTTGTTTTTGTTTTTTTTTACTGCAAACTAATTTTTCTTATAATTTTATATAAGGTAATTATTTGAAGTCTGAGTAAATGCAGATTCCTCCAGAGAAGATCTGTGTTTATTTCTGATACACAGCAGTACTTTAAACTCGATTCTTGGGAGGGAGGGTAGGGTGGAATGCCTGGCCGGCTCAGTCAGTAGAGCATGCAACTCTTGATCACAGGGTGTTTGAGTTCAAGGCCCACACTGGGCATGGGCCCTACTTAAAATAAATAAGTAAATATAAACTACATTCTTGGCTTGAGGTTTCTTAGACCATCAGGCAGCATGAATTCACGCAATAAAACCCACACCAGATTCACCATGAATTCTCAAGGGGCATCTTGCATCCATGTCCCAGCACCAAGGTTTCACACAATTCTCTTTGCAATACTGAGAGTAAGAGCTTATGTTCAGTTCCCACTGAATGTTGCCCTTTTAAGTCTCCATTTTAAGGATTTGGGGCAAGGAGCTTCTGAGACGTCCCCCCTCCTCCACCTAAGTTTTGTCTTCTACTTTTCAGGTCCTTTGGGGCCAAAAAATCCCCAAGGTGAATGTTTTGCAAATGCCCTCCAAGTTGGCCTCAGAACTCATCTCTTGGTTCCGAGTATTCTTCACAAGGTACATTTCAAACATATTTATGTGGTGCTTTCTTCCCCCTGGCAGTTGTAATTGTCTTCATCAGGGTGTCTGCTTGGTCAAAGTCAGTTAGTCAGACCACTGCTTGGTCAGAGTCAAAGGAAAGGTACAGAATCCGCATATGAAAAGGTGATATCTGAGAAGAGAAACCAGCTGAGGAACGATGTAAATACATTCTACAGTGACAGATCTGTAAGTTATTTAAAGGGCAGTATGGGATTCTGGTGGATCTTTTAAGGCTCTCTTCTGACAAGGTCTGTTGATGACCTGCATGTACCGGTTCACTGACGAAGTCAGAAATAAGTACTCTTGGAATTCAGTGAGTCGTCTTCCTGCCCTACTTTGGTACCAACCTGGTCTTGAGGAAAAGCCAAGTCTTTGGCTACAACGGCTTAGAGATCTGAAGAGTCAGGGGAGATAAATATTATAAACATTTGTGTCTATGCGATTCAACTGTAACTTCTTGAAAGCACACACCGTGTTCTCTTCTCTGTGTTCTCTTCTCTGGGTCTTCCAATCCTTTCCATCTTGATTGTCTTGATTCTTAGCCACTTTCTACAAGAGTCAAATGTCGTGCACCTTGCTCAGGGTAAACTTCTCACCACACGGTCTCCTTAGCTCTCAAGTCTCACCAAGATCTCACATAACTCTGAAAGTGTTTCTAGACCCAGGAATGCTTCGTTTGAAAAATAATTTAATTCCCTCTGTCCTTTCCATAGCAAACCCTCTTGTGTTACCAAATTAACCACTAATGTGAAAACGTCATAGCTAGAAGGAACCTCAGGGATCATCTAGCAACCAGTCCCAAAATCTGAATTTCTGGCCAAAGAAAGGGAGGCCCGGGGTAAACACAGTTGCCCACGCAGTCAAGTGAGTATTTGAGAGCTGAGTTTCGGCGGAGCTACCCAGTTTCCTGACTCCCTAACCAGGATTTTCTTCGCCCCAAGCTCCGTGTCTTGACAGTCCCTGAATGGGGGCGACTGGGGACCGGGGAGAGGAAGAGAGACCAGAGAGCGTCACAAGCAAAACCAGCGACTGCTCTGTGAGGGAATGCCTGTCCCCAAAGAGAGGAAGCCCGGCCTGATTTCACCCTGTGGCTGCAACCCGAGTCCAGAAGTCCATAGCAAGAGTGACGGAAAGAACGAGCAAAACCCAGCAAGCTGAGAACACAGAGGTAGGCCACAAGTCCTGGGGTCCCGGAGCCCCGTGCGCGCTCGCGGGCCGAGATGGCGACCCTGGGTTTCCAAAGCGCGCCACCTCTCCAGCCTGGAAGCGCATGACGAAAAAGTGTGGGGACGGTCGCAAACCCAAGAACACGAAACAAGCCTCGGAGAAGTTTCTCGGCGACGGTGCGTGGCGCTGGGGCCCGGCCCGACGCGGGAGGAACCAGAGAGGGAGAGGGCAGAGCCCGGGGGCCGTGGGAGGAGGTCGGTGCTCGCCAGCAGCGGCCCCGGGAGCCCCCCGGACCCCCCAGCCCCACCGGAGTCCGGACCCCGAAGCCCCGCCCCGGCCAGAAGCTCCGCCATCCCGAACGCGCCCGCGACTCGGTGCCAGGAGGACCCTTACCCGAGTAGGCTCCGACTCCGCCATGGCTGCCAGTCGCCCCTCAACTCCCGGGCTCCGCCTGATAACCCTCGGGCTGCGTGCCGGTCCCCTGGGCGCTCCCTGCCCCTCCTCGAAGCCGCCACCAGTGCCGTGTTGATACAAGGTGCATTGTGGGAGTCCGGCCCTTCGGCGCCAAGACCTGCTCCCGCCGCTCGCGCGCACTGCGCGGGATTTCTAAGGCGCCCCCGCGCGGCCGGAGGGTGAACAGCATCTCGGCGCTTGGGCGCAGAGTGTGCGACCTTAGAGGAGCTCTGTCCCGTGAGGTCCAAGGCAGGTTCAGAATTTAAGGCAGACGCAGGCCTCTTAGTGCCCAGCACTCGGCGAGGTGCTTTGAGGGATTCAAAAATGTATAAAATGTATAAAAGTCAGACTTTGCTCTGAGGGAAGAATATGTCATTTCATTGGGGAAAGAGAGATGGTCCCAAATGGCAAGTGGTTTTTTGTTTGTTTGTTTTTGTTTTCCATTAGTTCATCTGTCGTTTGGCTTTCTAGAAAGTAGAAATACACTTTCCACATCGACAGTGTGGGGTCAAGGTACCCAGGCCAACCCACTGCATCCTATTCACTATGGTAATCACGCGCCTCGGAAAATCCAAGATGGCCCTGATTTCAAATGTTTAATCCAGTCCACATATTATGTTACATGGTGACTTTGGAATTCTGATTTGGAAAGCACGGCTGCATTTCCATTTGATCACCCAATACAAAGCACTACTGCAAACCATACTTGCCTAATTGGTACCACATTGTCTCTATAGAGACAGGCGATGAACTTCCACTTTGAATTACAGCTGTGAAGCTCTTCCCCTGAGGACTAAACTCTTAATGAGATCAACAGAAAATTATGTTCACACATAACTGATTCCTTCTCAGCATGCAGGGCTCAGGTCAGACTTTACCTCCTTAGAGAAACATTCTCTGCCCACCCTGCCCAGAGGCCATCCCAACACACTATCCTGACACCCTGATCGAAATTTTCCACAGCATTATCATTACCTGAAGTAACTTCATTTTTTCATTAGTTTACATGGTAATTATGGGTCTCTCACTAAAATGTCCCTCCACAGTACACACCATTTCTGGCACACAGATGTGTTCATAAAGATCTCTGGATTATTGAATGGTGAAGTAGAGAATAAGGATAGAGTAAAGTCACCTCCAAGAGAAGCCATGATGTCTACGGCAACAGGATGGCCAAGCTTAGGAGACAAGGCAGCCATTGAGGTATGTCTAGGGTCTGACCGCCTTTCTTAGACCAACAAAAACTTAGTCAGACCCAGAAAAAAATGTATCACGATTGTGGAGACACACATGCCAGGACATAGGATACTGGGGTCATCAAGCAGTAGGCTCAGTTCTAGAACTCTCTATCCTGTTTCTGTGTTCACTGGGCAGTCTAATGATGCAGGTTTCCGTGAAGCTACTGGGTGACAACATGCAGATTAGGCTGACACAAATGTCCGGTCCACCCCTGGAAATGATTAAACTGATACTTTGGCTTGTCCGTCAGTCTCTTCAGAATCACCATGACTCAGCACCCCTGACTCTAAGCCTGGAACAGTGGGAAGATATTTAGATCAAATTTCCAGGGTGCAAAGGAGGCAGCACCAAGCATTGGTCCGAATCTCATGGGCTTGTAGAGATGGTGCACACAGCGACTTAGAAAATGGAGCCCAGGGGCGCCTGGGCAGCTTAGACTGTTAAGCGTCTGACTTGGGCTCAGGTCATGATCTCATGGTTTATGGGTTCAAGCCCCACGTCGGGCTCTGTGGTGCTAACAGCTAGCTCAGAGCCTGGAGCCTGTTTCAGAATCTGTGTCTCCCTCTCTCTCTGACCCTCCCTGGCTCACACCATCTCTTTCTCAGAAATAAATAAAAAGCATTAAAAAAATTTTTTTTAAAAAGAAAATGGAGGGGCGTCTGGGTGGCTTAGTCGGTTAAGCGTCCGACTTTCGCTTAGGTCATGATCTTGCGGTTCGTGGGTTCAAGCCCCGCGTCGGGCTCTGTGCTGACAGCCAGCTCAGAGCCTGGAGCCTATTTCAGAATCTGTGTCTCCCTCTCTCTCTGATCCCTCCCCTGCTCACGCTGTCTCTCTCTCTCCTAGAAATAAATAAAAAATATTAAAAAAATAAATAACTAAAAATAAAAATATTTTTTAAAAAAAATTTCTTAAAAAAAAAAAGTGGAGCCAAGATGGGTGAAATGGGTGAAGAGCACACTTATCTGGATGAGCACTGAGTAATTTATGGAATTGTTGAATAAAAAAAAGAATAGAAACCATTTTTTCAAATTGCAAATGTTTTAAAAATTGGGGCAAAATAATAGTGTCTATATTGCTATGAAGGAAGGAAGGGAGGGAGTGAGTAGGGGTCAACACCATTGGTCTCTCCTGCTTATTAATTTCTCAGCCCCGCCATTTCCTCGTTATTAGTGAGAAATAATAATAGCACACATCTCATAGCATTGCTCTGCAGATTAAATGAATTAGTTCAAGAGCTTAGAACTGTGCATGTTAGGTGAGGAGCTCAAAAAGTGCTTCTGATCCCTATTAATCTGTGTTCTGGCTTCTTCATTTACTAAGTGATGTGGCTTATGCTTACTCTGTTTCAGTGTCTTTTCACGGAGAATACAAGCACCACATCCTAGGGTTGTTAATAAAATTAAAACGAATAACGCGTGTAAGTAGAGTGTTAATATAACTGAATGCCTGGTGTATAGCGAGCACTCAGTAACAGGTGATTTCTCATTTTGGTACGTTTGTGCTTTGGCGAAGTCCAAGCCTTGAGCTGCAATGACTTTGCCAAGATAAATGTTACCTTCTCTGGTCTCTTGGAAGCTTCCTATTGGCCCCTTCCCAGTGAGACTCAGATCTTGACACAGGCCTTTAACTAAACTTTGAAAGAAAGCTCCTAATTGTTCTCATTGGTGGCAGCGGTATCAAACGAATCAAGAAAATATACTTAGTACCTGTACCTTCTCATCTCTATGTCTGTAAAATACAAATGTAACACGCAGAGCTGAAGGTGACCTTAGACATTATCTCACCCACACCCTCATTTCTACTGACAGAAAAGAGTATCCTTTGAATCACGTATAATACAAATTAAGTTTAAAATAATGTTTCAGGGGTGCCTGGGTGGCTCAGTCGGTTAAGTGTCCAACTTCGGCTCAGGTCATGATCTCACAGTGCATGGGTTTGAGCCCCGCCTCGGGCTCTGTGCTGACAGCCAGCTCAGAGCCTGGAGCCTGTCTTTGGATTCTGTGTCTCCCTCTCTCTCTTGCTCATGCTGTCTCTCTCTCTCAAAAATAAATAAAACATTAAAAAATTTTAATACATAAATGTTTCAGAAATTAATCTTGTCCTTTAAATTTTCCATTGTGCATATGATTTATACCATATGTATTAACATATATATGTGCACATATGCCCAAACGTTTTTTTTTTACTCGAGGAAGTTTATAGACCGTGGCTTTATTCCACTTAGCTGAGACCCTTTCTATTCTGTTCCTCTTACTATCCTGCAAGCCTCTACATGGCAGAGACCATGGCTTGTGTGCCCCTTCTCGCTCCTGGGGAGCATGCCCCCCCTCAAGGCTTCCAGGTCAGGGAGAATCCTAGAATGCACACATCTTGGTTCAAACACTGCTACTCTCTGACCCCCCATATATGCGTGTATGGACAGTGGACAGTTAACACACACACAGTGTTTCCACACGCAGTGGGCATCTGTTAACTTTGTCAGCCTAGCACTTTCCCCTTCTTCTGGGCATAGATGCACCTCTGTCTCTTTGGGGACAGCTCCTCCCTCGGCTCTAGCCATGTGCACTTGGATTGGGTACTGCCATCTTGTTGCATGCCAATTCCAGTCTGGTCACAGTGACTGTTGAAGGGCGGGCATCTGACTCAAGCCAGTCCAATCCTAGCACCTCTTGGTCACAGTAATTGAGCCAAGAGTGGGCATATGACCTAAACTGGACCAATCAGAGTTCTTCCCTGGGGTTTTTCTAACTGGAGTGAAGAGGAAAGGTTCTTTTCCTCTCTGGTGAGGTTAATAAATACACGAATCAGGAACTGTCTTGTGCCCCATTTTGGGGGGTGTTGACTTGAAAGAATGATACCTACACACAGAAAAGAGCAGAGATGAGAGACACGTTTTTGCCTCTGTCCTGGATTGGTTGTTCAACTGTTCTTTTGAGTGTGTGAATGAGTCCAGCTTTCTTCCAGAAACATCCCCTTTCTCCAGAGTTGACCAGTCAGCTTCAGGTAGAGGAACTGAGTGACTAGGTGACAAGGAGTTTTTTGTTTGTTTTTTTACTGCCCATCCTTTCACTCACTTAAAATTTTGAATGTATTAATGTGAAATCTATTCAAAACCCCAAACCGACTAAAACCTAGTGCAGAACTCCTCTTAGGGAGCAAATAGCTTTTTTTTTTTTTTTTTGCAGAAGAGTTTTACTGGTCATTTTAGCTGTGGAAAAATAGGCCTTAGGGGATGGCTTGGAAGGCAGAAGGAAAGATATAATTAAATTGCTATTTCTTGGGATGTCTAAGAGGCTCAGTCGGTTGAGCGACTGACTCTTGATTTCAGCCTAGGTCATGATCTCATGGTTCATGAGATTGAGCCCCAAGTGGGGCTCTGTGCTGATGAAGCAGAGCGTGCTTAGGATTCTCTCTCTCCTCTCTTGCTGCCCCTCCCCCATTCACTCACACGCTCTCTCAAAATAAACATTAAAAAAAAAAAAAACCTCAATTGCTCTTAAAAAGTAGGGTGTGTATGCCTGGGTGGCTCAGTTGGTTAAACATCTCTCAATTTTGGCTCAGGTAATGATCAAGCCCTATGTTGGGCTCCACACAGTCAACACAGAGCCTGCTTGGTATTCTCTCTCAAAATAAACACATAAACTTAAAAAAAAAAACAAACCCACCTAAATTGCTCTCCATAACAAATTAGGATTGGGGGATTTCCTTGGATTCTCTGGGAGGGTGTGAGGGACCCCAGAAAGGAGGAGGAGAGCTACTTTTCTGAGAGGAAGGTAAGATACAAGATTAAGAGTGGGAGATGGTGAATTCTGAGAAATTGCTGATGGTGAAAATTGTGAAAGAACAGTGATAGTGGGTATTTTAGGTCTAATTTGGGGTCATTTGCTGTGCTAGGCTGAGATGAGACCCTCTCTATAACCACCAAAGTATAAAAGTCTACTAAACATAAGATCTTATCTGGGGAAGGCAGAGAAAAGGCAAAGAGCTGCCGGGGCGAACACAGCAGAACTAAGAGGAGACAGCAGCATGAAGACAGACATACTTGAACTTGAGAATCCAGGAAGCATGAGCTAATGAAGAGAAAGGAAACTTTCCTCAGCCCCACATCCTTGAGATGGGGCGGGGGGTGACTGCTGGTTTTGACACTATTTGTAGGATGGGGACTTAAGCCATTTTATACTTAGAGGATATTGACTTCCATAGGGATGTGGGGATGCCCTGCTAACCAACACTGGCTTTCACTTCCAAGATGGGATATGGGATCTCCCTTGAATCTTGAATGGGATACTAATCAAAGACAGTTTTCTTTTATAACAGAAGAGAATAAACCTAGAGAAACTACTACACTCGGGGATTATGTGGGTGTCAAATACAACTAAGTGGCTCAGTTGGTTGAGCGACTGACTTTGGCTCAAGTCATGATCTCAGGGTTTGAGTTCAAGCCCACTTTGGATCCCACCCCACCACCACCCCACCTCTCTCAAAAACAAATATCAAAAAAATAATACATCTAAAGAGGTTTGACTAGAGGTTCTTGACCTTTAGGACACAGTGTGAGCATGACACTAGAAGATTCTTTCGGAAGGAGGCTTATGGAAACCTCACAGGGTGGGGTGGGCAGGGAGAGGGAGACTCTCACACCCAAGATGCCTCTTCTCAAGAATTACTCTTTTAGGGGCGCCTGGGTGGCTCAGTCGGTTGAGAGTCCGACGTCAGCTCAGGTGAGTTCGAGCCCCGCGTCGGGCTCTGTGCTGACAGCTAGCTCAGAGCCTGGAGCCTGTTTCAGATTCTGTGTCTCCCTCTCTCTCTGACCCTCCCCTGCTCACACTCTCTCTTTCACCCTCAGAAATAAATAAAACATTTAAAAAAAAAAAAAAAAGAATTATCTTTTAGAGGGGCACCTGGGTAGCTCACTCAGTTAAGCGTCCCTCTTCAGGACTTCAGCTCAGGTCATGACGTCATGAGCTTGAGTCCCGTATTGGGCCTGTGCTGATAGCTCAGAGCCTGGAGCTGCTCTGAATTCTGTGTCTCCCTCTCTACGTCTCCCCTGCCTGCACTCTCTCTCTCAAAAATAAACATTAAAAAAGAATTCTTTTAGAGATATCCGCCCACAATGGCTCCCTGAGTCATTGGCAGATGGAATGTCATGGCCTCCCTCAGATGGTCCTGACAGGGGCCCAAGCTGACAAGATGCTTTATTACATGTTTTTCTAACCATTACAATCGGATAGACCAATACCCTAAAACATAAGCATAGGCTGGCTCATCTTGACCCTGGGGTGAAGTTTCGTCTTTCCCCTTACTTTCCAACACCCACTATCCTGGGACCAGATATCAGAGGGCCAGTTATGGTGCCCAGATCCTTGATTGTAAGAGAACCGTCCCTTGTGGCTTTTCATTTTTAGTGGCGTCTTAGCTTAAACTTGCTGTTTCTAGACTTCCATTTTCACCCTCTCTTACCTCTCAGAGCTATACACTCTCGGCTTCGGAAGAATTCTAAAGATTTTTAAGTAATTCCTACACCCAACATGAGGCTCAAACTCATGACTCTGAGATTGAGAGTCACATGCTCTGCTGACTGAGCCAGCCAGGCACCCCTGGGCTTCTCAAGAGTTCGAAGGGGCCTATGAGTCATCAGTGGCATAGCAGACCCCAGGCTAACTGGCAGCCTGTCTATGGAATAGTCTTGGCATTCAAGGTCTTCCCATGGCCTGGCCTTGACTCACCTTGAAACGATGACATTGGCTATCTCTTCGCATTCCAGGTACGGCCAGGGCAGTCTGCCGTTTTATAATCCCACTTGGTGCTCCCCTGCCGCCTTTCACCCTTATCCCACATTGCCTACCACCTGCCCCCCCCCCCCCCCCCCCCCCCGGCCCGTTTCATCCATTGCACCCTGCAGGCCTTGACTTCTCAGTTCCGGAAGGACACAGAAAGCAGCTCTTAGCAGTGGCTGTCTCTGAACAGGGAGTCTGGCAGGAAAGAGCTTTACTCCTGGGCCTTTTTGTTTTTTTTAACCATTTAAATTTTTACTGCATGCATTAATTTTTAAATTAAAATAGTTAATTTTAATTAACACATTATCAGAAGGAAAATAAAAATCCACCTTCAAAGCAGGACCCCTGACCTCTGTCCTGCTTCAGTAAGCGGACTCCAGGGTCCACACTGAGTGTCCCCACCTTTGATCAGCTCCCGGGGTGGAGCTCACTCTAGGACACGCCAGAGGCCAGTCCCAGATGCTGGGGTGTCTCGTGGTGGAGCCGAGGGGCACGTGGCGCAGTGGCATCCGCCAGACCAGGGCGCAGGAACCAGACAGCCCCGGCCCCCTCACTGGCTCAGTCACTAAACCTCTTTGGGAATCAGCTCCTTGAGGTTAAAATAAAGGGAGGGACTCCGGCTATGTGTTTAGGTGAATCAAACCCACGTCTCAATAGTGATCTCTCCCCCTTCTTCACACTCTCAACAGCCAAAAAAGAAAAAAAAAAAGTTGGTCTTATTCCTCCATGTCCTAGATTATGAAAATATTGATTTTACTGCCTTCCTCCCAAAGGAAAACGCTGGTCTAGAAGGTTCCCTTCTGCTCTAACAAAACTCCGTTGAAGGTGTAACTTCTCAACTCCTCTTCTTAAGATTTGCCTTCTTCAGAAAGCAGAAGGAAGAAAAATGCAATCCCAGTTGGGCTCCGATTCCTCGAGGCTTTACCGTAGGAAGCCACAGCTGCAGAGCCCTCTGGCCTTGTGAAAATGCAGTCTGCAACCTGGACACCTTTTATTTAGTTTCAAGAATTCCCTTTGCATGGCAGAAAGGGGTCTGAGGAAAGCAGAGCAGCGCAGATGGGGGGAGGGGGGAGGCAGGACACCCGCCAGCTGCCCGCCGGGCCCCCGGACTGGGAGAGGGAGAAGCAGAAACGATGGGAAGAGCAGGAGGAGTCATTCTTGACGCAAACAAGGGTGTCGGGGCGCGCCACCCCATCCCAGTGCCTGGTCATGCAAGACGCGGAAATGGAGACTATGGCCCCTCAGGACCACGGAGCAGATGCACCAACTCAAGGGAGTCCTTTGGGCGCCTCCCGAGGCGCCTGCAGGGTCCGTGTCCATGTCCATGAGCGTGGTCAGGTAACAGATAGCACCAGTTGGGAGGCTCAGGGCAGGAGACTGAGGCTCTCAGACTCTAGCACCCGCTGGCCCGGCCCTCCTGGGAAGAGGCTCACTTCCTCGGTGGCTGCTCCTGCAGCCAGAGCCTCCCCCCTCCCCCCGGGGTAACTGGAATAAATCAACAAAGTGAGGTCTGACCCAGGGCACCAGCTGCCTCTGGGGGGCCGGGTCGCTACTGTGCAGTGAAAAGATGCACCAGATTGAAGGACCGGAGGTGGGAAGGACAGGCTGGGGGCAGGGGACCTACTGCCCGGGAGTGTCTACACAGGAAGAGCCTTGCTCTGATGCGCAATGCGCAACCCCAGGGACCGTGGGGCCCTCCAGTTAACCGGGGAGTTGGTCTCCTGTTGCTTCTGATTCGCGGTGGGTCGGGGGAAGGAGACAGGAGAGAGGCCGGGCCAGAGAAGTCTCTCAGACATGGGAGGTAGGCAGTGTGTGCGGTGGGGGACACTGCTCTGGGGCCCAGGAGCCCTGTCGCTCTCGTCTTGCGTGACCTTGGGTAAACCAGCCATCTGGGTCTCTCCTCTCTGTTACCAAGCGGCGACAACCCTACCCCATCTACCTCAGAGGGACAGGCTAAGGGTAAGAACGGATAACGGATAGAAAACACGTTTTAAAAAAGTAGAAAGCGCTATCCGAACGCGAGGCAGTGCTGTCATCAGAGATGTTACCCCTTAGCCCACCCCTCGCTCGCCGACTCGCGTTTGCTAGCTTTCTCGGCATCTCTGAACCTCGGGACCTCATCTCAGAAGGCTCCTGGGACTCCCTAGTTGCTTCCCCTGATCACAATCTGTGTGTGACCCCTGCGGCCCGCTGGGCGTGAGGGGGGCGCCCGAAGACTGTCGCCTCCTCACCGTCCCTCTGGCACCTTCCCTTGGGGAAGACGCTCAGCCAGCCCCTCGGTCCGCTGTATGAGATGAGCTGGCCGTCCGTTCAGGCCGGACAGGTCTAGGGGCCCCCTACCCCCCAAGGGGGACCCTGTCTGGAGTGCAATTCCTCTTCCCAATTTCCAGCAGGTGACAGGTAGAGGGAGGGAAGGCGCGCCGGACCACGGGCAGGGTCAGGGGTGCTCAGGACTCCCCCCCATCCCCACCCCCACCCCGGGTCCGCTCCCCACCCCTGGCCCCTGCCGCCGGTCCCTCCCCTCCCCCAGCCCAGCCCTAGTCTTGCTCCGGCGGCGCCTGGAGCGGCCGAGGGGCGCCGAGCCCGGGGCCACCACTGTGCACGCGCAGGTGGTCCTTGAGCGACTCCTTGTAGCGGAAGCTCTTGCCGCACTCGCCGCACGTGTAGGGCCGCTCGCCCGTGTGGATGCGCTGGTGCTTGAGCAGGTTCTGCTTGCGGATGAAGCTCTTGCCGCAGAGCGCGCACTGGAAGGGCCGCTCGCCCGTGTGCAGCCGCTGGTGGTTCTGCAGGTGCTCCTTGCGGCTGTAGGTCTTCTCGCACTCGGAGCACTTGTAGGGCCGCTCGCCGCGGTGCGTCATCTGGTGGCGGATGAGGCCCGAGTGGCAGTTGAAGCTCTTCTCGCACTCGGCGCACTCGTACGGCCGCTCCTTGGTGTGGCTGCGGTGGTGGATGATGAGGCTCTTGCGCACCCCGAAGCTCTTGCCGCACTCGGGGCACGAGTAGGGCTTGCTGCGCGCGCCGTGCAGGAGCAGGCTCCGCCGCAGGCCGCCCGGGCAGCAGCTGCCGCAGCCGCCGCCCCCGGGCCCCCCGCCCGCGCCCCCGCCGCCCCCGCCGCCCCCGCCCTGCGCGCCGCCCGCGCCCCGCTCCGCGGCCGGCGCGGGGAAGCCGTCGTCGGGGGGCCCGCCGCCCGCCGCGGTCTCGGCCGCGGGGAGCACGGGCAGGCTCTGCGGGGCCGGCTGCGGAGGCTGCGGCTGCTGCGGGCCGGGGGGCGGGTTCTTCACCAGCAGCAGGCTGTCACCTGGAGAGGAGACGCAGAGAAGTGACACGCTGGTGGCGCTCTATCCGGGTGCCCCCCACCCCCACGCACCGTCCCTGAAAGGGGCCCAGGGCCTTAATTGATCACTGTGGCTTCATGTGAGTCGCAGGCTATCTGAGCCTCTGTTTCTCTGAAAAAATGAGGGGATTGAGCAAAGGCAGGGCTCATGTTTTCTATGGTTCGAGGGCTCCCTGACCCTCGGACATGCACAAAGCCACCCGCTGGAGAGCACCAGAAGCGGGTCCAGCAGGTAGCACGCAGTTAGGAGAGAAACACCTGCGGAAAGCAGGGGCGGAGCTTGGGGGGAGGGGGGGTGCTATGCGGAAGTCGCATCGGAAGGCAGAATTGCCTGGAAATAATACAACTTAACTGCATTCTGATGTTCGATGCTAATTTATCTAAGGAGAATCTCTGGCCCAGAGGGAAAGAAGTTGCCAGAACTTATCCAAGGTGACAGCCTGTCTGGGGGCCTATAGAAATGGAATGCAAGGAGTGGGGACCAGAACCACGCCACCATTTTTGGTCGTGTTTCTTCTAAGCGACCGGCCTTCAGACTTGTCCCGCAGCATGGGCCCCGGACCACCCTGGCATCTGACCCCATCTGCACCCTGACCACACGTGACCCGGGCTCTCTAGAACCCTGTGTGGAAGCAGCTGTGCGTTGCCCCCACCCCCACCCCCAGAAAGCACCCTTGGGTCCCCCACTACCTCAGGGGTCAGTGGGGTACCAAGTCCAGGGTCTGGGCAGCAAAGCAGTGGGCCCAGGCCCGGACCTCTATATTTAGGAGTCTCCCTACTCCTTCACCTCCACCTCCCACCTCGGGTGCCAGTTCACAGGCCTCTCTCCCTGGAGGCACCCCTCCTCCACCGAAGAGCAGCTGGTAGAACAGTAGAGAAGGTAAAGCTGTGCTCCCTCCAACTTGTTGGCATCTTCGGCCCAGGACCCCCGTGCTCCCTGGAGGCCACGTCTCAGGCCATATCTGGAATGCTTCCACCCACGCCCATCGTGTCAGATTAACACTGGGCCTCCTGGATGCCCCCGATGACACTGGGCCCAGCCTGCCCTCTCTACCCATCTACCAGGCAGAGGGGCGCCTGGGTGGCTCAGTCAGCTAAACCTCCAACTCTGGATTTTGGCTCAGGTCATGATCTCACGGTTCGTGAGTTCGAGCCTCACATCGATCTCTGAGTTGACAGTGTGGAGCCTGCTTGGGATTCTCTCTCTCTCTCTCTCTCTCTCTCTGCCCCTCCTCCAGCCGTGCTCTGTCTCTGTCTTTCTCTCAAAATAAACAAAACTGACGAGACAGAGAGCCACCTCCATAGGACACTGGCTAGAGGCCGAAGCCGCAATAACTGTCCTGGCCTCCACCCAGGGTGCCAGGCCTTCAATCCTGGGGGACTGATCATGCGCTGTGGCCTCTATCACAGCTGCACCATGGGCCTTGTTTCTCCCTCCACCCACCCAATCTACTACTCTCACCCCTTCATTCCCAAGAGGACCCCAAGGAACGACATGCACATAAGCCTCCACTTCAGAGGCTGTTTCCCTGGAAACCCAACTTGCAACAGTCGTAATCCTACTCTGATAATTCTTCCAACTCGGTGTGCGCATCAATCCACTGTTCTCACCTTCCCGTCATGCACCCGCCCCTTGCTCTCCCTTCCGGGCCCAGCTTAGCTTCTGTGGTCAGCACCGGGGCCACTGGCCTGAAATGCCCTTCATACCTCTGCTCCTCTTGCCTGGGGAACCCCAACACAGCAGCCATGCTCGACCAGCTGAAAACAGCTGGAGAAGATTGCACAGATCTCAAAAGGGGCCCCCACCCAGCCTGGCGCCCTACGCCACTTCTCAGCATGCGCTACACTGTGGGGCCGTCACATCACACCTCTTCCAGCGGCCAGCACGAGGACCGCTATTCCCGACCTCACTGGCCAGTAACGCGTTCAGACATAGGCATGTGACCTCGTTCTGGCGGATAACACGTGAGGAGAAGGTTTCTGGGCGTTTCCTCACGCCTGAGAGTGTAGGAAGAGAGATGGCCTTTCCTTTCCCTCTGGTCTGGATGTGACTGCTTAGGAGAGCTTGAAAGAACCTGGGTCCCGGATAATGTAGCTTCAGCCTTGAATCAACTTGAGGCTGAACCTGAACTGCCTCTTAGTTATGTCGGACAATAAATGTCGTCACTGTCGAAGGCAGTTTGAATCAGGGTCTACAGCAGTGGAGAGTAGCCTACCAGGCACGGTGGGTCCAACTTAAGAGAACATTCTCTCCGGACTCCATGGGCTCCCAGGCTCCGCTACCTCATCTCACCTCATCTTTGTTCCTTTTCATACCAATGTTCTTGAAGTCATCTCTCCTTGCTTTTACTGATCTCTCTCAGACTCTTAGAGTCAGGCAGAGTCCCGCACACCACCGAACCAACTTTTCAAAGTCACCAGCAACCTCCAAGTTGCCCAATCCAAGCGTCTCTTTTAGCCTCTGGATTTCCTCTAGGCTCACACCTGGGGCCTCTGTCTTTGTCTACACTCTCCCTAGGCCTCTGAGTCCCCAGCCTTCAAACAATCTGCGCTAAGAATTTAGCAGGCCTTTGTCCTGTATTCCTAGGAGGCTTTATAGGAGGGTCTTTCTTATGCAAGGTAGGCTCTGATGTTATGCTAATGAGGCAGTTCAAGAGGAGTGTCTAGATTAAGGCAACAAGACTCTGACTCAGGATCCAGCTGGCTAGGCCAGTAAGACCATGGCACCAAGAGAGGGGATGGGCTGGAGAATAACCTCAACCTCACCTCCCGTGGTTCAATCAATCATAAGCACGTGAAGAGACTCCAGTAAAAATTCTAGACGCAGAAGCTTCGGTGAGTGTCTCTTCGGTGAGTAGGTAATATACACTGTGTATTGTCACACGTCACTGCCTCACTGCCGGGGCGGTGACACTCCTGATCCCACCGGGAGCAGATGACATAAGCTTCATGGTTAGGATCCTTCCAGAATGGGTTCTGTGGATCTCTCCTTTCGCTGGTTCTGATTTGAATCCTTTGGCTCTACTAAAACTAATGATGAGTATAGATGCCTTCCTGAGTTTTGTGAATTGTTCTAGTGGACTGAATCCCACGGGCTAATGGGAACCCCTGCATTTGTACCCAGCTGGTCAGAAGGAGTGGGCTGGGGACCCTTGAACTTGCAGCTGGTGTCTGAAATCAGAGCAGTCTCGTGGAGCAGGGCACTTCACCTGTGAAGTTTGGACTAATTCCAGGGAGCTGCTGTCAAAAGTCATCACAGCCTACGACCCCAAGTGAATCTAACCCCGGCTCTCTCTTGAACTTCAGACTCCTCTGTTCATCTGCCTACTTGGATGCTATCTCACACCTTCCAGGCCCAAAGTCGAGCACTCGATTTACACAGTAAACCGGCTCTGCCCCAGGACTTGCCATTCTGGGAAACAGCACCACTGACGGCCAACCTAGTTCCTCGGGGCCCAACCTAGATGTCACTCTTGACCCCTCGCCCACCACACAGGACCCATCAGTTACACGTGCAGAGTCTGTCCCGAATCTGTCCACTTCTCCCCGTGTGCACCAGCTACCATCCCCGCTCCAACCAACCGTCCTCTCTTCAAGGCCTGTACCAATTTCGCCAGCTTCCTAAATGGCTTCCTTGCTGCTGGGAAGCAGGTCCTCACCCCACACCAGTCCTTTCCTGCACTTAGCTTTTTAAAATAGAAACCAGATGGAGGTGCCTGGGTGGCTGAGTGAGTTAAGCGTCTGACTCGTGGTTTTGGCTTAGGTCATGATCTCATGGTTTGTGAGTTCAAGCCTGCATTAGGCTCTATGCTGGCAGCATGGAGCCTGCCTGGGATTCTCTCTCTCCCTGTCTCTCTGTCCCTCCCCTGCTCGCTCTCTCAAAAATAAATAAAAATACATATTTTTTAAAAAATGCAAACCAGATCATTTCATTAACCTGTTTAAAACCCTCAGCCGGTCCCCTTTCATAGCAGGATGAAATCCAAATTCTGCCACCACCATAGGTCACATGTGGTCAGCTTCCTCCCTGCCCACTGCTTCACCCTTGTCCCCTAGAGCCTCAAGGCCTTCGCCCTGCTTTTCCCTCATCTGTTCTTCCCTTCCCTGACAGCTCTGTGGTCAGCTAGTTCTCACTATCTGGGGTACACTCCCTTCCCCGGGGAGGCCTTTCCTGCCTGAGCCCCCTGCCCCCGCTCCCGCCCACCTGCTTTCCGAGTCATCATCTCAGAGCACGGGCCGCCCCTGACTTTACCCCGTGGGCCCTCAGCCTTGTTCGTGCTCCATCACCTTCTCATGGAAGGAGAGACCCCTGTTCTTTTCCACTGCCTTGCCCAAGTACTTGTAATTGTGCACAGTGCAGAGTAGGCACAGAGTAAATATTTCTTAAATAACAGAAAATGACAAAGGTGGGGAGCAGGGCTTTAACCCAAGGCAGCGAATAATGCGGGCATTTCAGGAGTGCGCCTTCAAATCTCATTTTGTAGGTGCTGGTGTCTGCGTAGGGTGGTCTGGCTGTGGGCTCTTGACCCCACTCGCTCCAGAAGCATCTGGTAGTCACGGGAAGCCAAAGTCCTCCTCGTACGTCCTGCTTTGATGGAGCCCTGTGCACATTCCCTCCCCTTTGGGTGAACTAGATTTTTTTCCTGTCTTACACTCACTATCATATATAACTGAGGAATCCCTTTGACTACAACGTAGTGGCCAGTCAGACTGAAGTCTGACTTTGAGTCAAATAGGACACCAGGTCTTTCTTGCATGCATGCCCCGGGGCAGGGGAAGTAGGTTGGCAGGGACGGGCATCCTAGAGATCTGTTTTACTCTAATTCCATTACCCTCTCCACTCCCAGCTCGTCTCCAGAAGACGTGATCCCACGTCTCACCAACAGTGATCCTGCTGTCCTTGGTTAAAGGACGTGTGTTCTTTAAACCTCAAAGATATGACAGGTGAGATACTAATTTCAACAAGAACAAGCAAGCAGAAGGCAGCCCACTTTGGCAGAAAGTCAAGAAGTTCCGATATGAGGCTCTGGTGAGTGGGCCAGTGGGGGGTACATTTCCGGATACTCCTGTCTCCCAAACTCTGGGCAATGCCTCCCAAATGCCAAGGCTTGAAGGCCTCCCAGAGAGAAAACAACATGAGGCAAATCGTTCTATGACTCGGAATATCCAAACTGAGGAGGTAAAATGGTCTGGTCACTTGCAAAGCTTTGCAGTCTCTGCATAGGCTCCCTGTGATCCGTTACCACAGCTACACATGTCTCCAGGAAAAGGCTTCTCCAGGCCACGCACTCCCAGGCGACTCAGAGAATTCTAGTGGTTGCCCCAAGGAACAAAGGGTTGGGCAGAATTCCTGGCATGGGGTTTGATGAACTAGGACCTATGCCTTCGAGGCCAGAAATAGCAGCCTCAGCACCGTCAAAAAGGAAGTGGAAAACCGCTGGTCACTTTTTCCTGTCCCCAGTCAGTCCCCTGGATTTTAAGCTCTTGGAGGGTTTCAGGAGTGTGGACATGGAACATACGGACCAGAAGACACTAAGTCAGCCGTCCTGAGAGCGAGGAGATGGTGCTGAGTCTGGCAAGGAATGCCAGCCGGACGCTACGAGTGTTGAATGATCCACAAACATATGCCTAAGGTCACTGGATGATGAATGAAACTTCAAAAAAGACCCAAGAGACCCAAGTCAGGTGAGATGTTGGGTCCCTTACCTACTGGGGGAAAAAAATCCCCTCTCCCTATTGGAGCTTCGGTATCCTCACCAGCTACTGTGGGACGTCAGCTCAGGGTGGCTTGGGGCTCTGGCCAGTGTCTTCTAGTATGTGAGCCACCTGCTGTCAGGTGCCAGTGGCTTAGCTCTCTCCCAGCCCACTCTCCTTTCCCTGCTCTCATGAGCTGAACTATACCCCCCACCCCAAAGATGTTGAAATCCAAACCCCAGGTACTGCATTTGAAAAGTGACCTTATTTGGAAAGAGGCTCTTTTCAGATATAATTAGTTAAGATGAGGTCATGCTGGGGTAGCGTGGGCCCTGATGCAGTTGACTCCTGTCTTTAAAGGAAGACAACTAGGGGATGACACGGACACGGAGGGAGAACGCCACGCGAAGATAAAGGCTGAGGGGGGCCTGTGCAGCCATAAGCCAAGGAATGCTAACCACTGCCACAAGCACCAGAAGCCAGGAGGTTTGCGGAGAAGGCATGACCCTGCTGACCCCCTGATTGCAGACTTCTGTCTTCCAGAACCAAGAGGCAATACATTTCCATTGTTCTAAGCCACCCAGTTCGTGGTGCCTTGTTAATACAGCACTAGGAGGGGCGCCGGGGTGGCTCAGGGGGTTAAGCGGCCGACTGTGGCTCAGGCCATGATCTCACAGTTCATGGGTTCAAGCCCTACGTTGGACTCTGTACTGACAGCTCAGAGCCTGGAGCCTGCTTCGGATTCTGTATCTCCCTCTCTCTGCCCGTCCCCCACTCGTGCTCTGTGTGTGTGTCTCTCTCACTCTCAAAAAAAAAAAAAAAAGGGGTACCTGGGTGGCTTAGTCGGTTAAGCTTCCGACTTTCGCTTAGGTCATGATCTCGCTGTTTGTGGGTTCGTGCCCCGCGTCGGGCTCTGTGCTGACTGCCAGCTCAGAGCCTGGAGCCTGTTTCAGTCTGTGACTCCCTCTCTCTCTGACCTTCTCCTGCTCACACTGTCTCTCTCTCTTAGAAATAAATAAAACATTAAAAAAAAAAAAAAAAAAAGACATCACAAGTAAATAAACATGGCTGCCATCCTCCAAGAGGAAAGGAGATAGAGCTTTGATACAGAACAGCACCCTGTCAGGGGATAGGCCTTGGCTAGCAGCCATCCCTGTGGATGATACACCCAGGGGCCCCAGGGGACGCGTTACTCACTGGGGCCAGAATCCAATCCGAGCTCTCCTTCCATTGAGTCGCGTGGGCCCCATGGGTATGGCTGCTCCTCCTGTTTGATCCACGACAAAATGTCATGTGCTGAGATCAGAGACTCTGTGGAAAGAAGGCAGCCTTAGAGTCTGTTCCTTCCCACTGAGCCTCCCAGCAAGGGTTAGGAAACGATCTCATTGGAGGCCCGCCGCCCCAGCGCACAGGGCTCGTAGCTTGGCATCTTCGTCTCATTTCCTAGCCATCCTCATCCTCCCGGCCGCCCTCACTGGTGGGATCTCACTCATGCCCGAGATATTTGGAGTTGGCCAGGGCAGAGGGGGCTTCGCCCAAAGTCTGCGTAGCTGCAGAACCCAGATGAGAACCCATGTCTTCCCATCTGTCCATGGAGCCCCAAAGCAGCCTGTGCCCCAAACAGGCCCGAGGGAAGTCTGGTGTCTGATGGCCAATGGGACTGAGGGATGAGTAACAGAACTTACGAACCACCAATGTCAGGGCACCTGGGTGGCTCGGTGGTTAAGCATCTGACTCCAGCTCAGGTTGTGATCTCACAGTTCTCGGGTTTGAAGCCCATACTCTGCTATGGGCACGGAGCCTGCTTTGGATCCTCTGTTCCCCTTTTTCTGCCTCACCTCTGCTTGTGCTCTTTGTCTCTCTCAAAAATAAATAAACATTAAAAAGAAGTGGGGGAGGGCGCCTGGGTGGGTCAGTCGGTTAAGCAACAGATTTCAGCTCAGGTCATGATCTTGCAGTCCATGAGTTCGAGCCCTGCGTCGGGCTCTGTGCTGACAGCTCAGAGCCTGGAGCCTGCTGGGATTCTGTGTCTCCCCCTCTCTGCCTCTTTCCCACTCTCACTCTGTCTCTCAAAAAAAATGAATAAACATTAAAAAAAAAAAAAAAAAGAAAAGAAGAAGAAAATGAAGAAGAAAGGATTGGCTTTCCTCCTGTCCTGGACCCCTTCAATTTATCCACTGTCAAGGTGTGGGGTGATGGGGCACCTGGGTGGCTTAGTCGGTTGAGTGTCTGACTTTGGCTCAGGTCATGATCTCACAGTTCATGAGTTTGAGCCCCATGTCATCCCACGTAAGATTCTGTGCTGACAGCTCAGAGCCTGGAGTCTGCTTCAGATTCTGTATCTCCCTCTCCCTGCCCCTGCTTATGCTCTGTCTCTGTCTCTCTCAAAGATAAACATTAAAAAAAAAATTTTTTTTTAAGCTCTAAGGTTGAAACAAAGATGCTAGCCTTTCTTTTTCTTTTCTTTTCCTATTTTTTTTTTAATATTTTTATTTATTTCTAGGAGAGAGAGAGAGAGACAGAGTGAGCAGGGGAGGGCCAGAGAGAGAGGGAGTCACAGACTGAAACAGGCTCCAGGCTCTGAGCTGGCAGTCAGCACAGAGCCCGACGCGGGGCCCGAACCCACGAACCGCGAGATCATGACCTAAGCGAAAGTCGGACGCTTAACCGACTAAGCCACCCAGGCGCCCCATTTTCCTATTTTTTTTAAATGTGTATTTATTTTTTAGAGGGAGAGAGAGACACAGCACAAATGGGGTAGGGGCAGAGAGAGAGAGGAAGACACAGAATCTGAAGCAGGCTCCAGGCTCCGAGCTGTGAGCACAAAGCCCAATACAGTGCTTAAACTCACGAACCGTAAGCCCATGACCTGAGCTGAAGTCAGACACTCAGCTGAGCCACTCAGGCGCCCCAGGAATGTTAGCTTTCATGTCTGATCTTGTCTTCCTGGTGTTCAAGGCCAGTCAAGACTCTGGGGCCATCACTACCAAATATGAGGGCCCTGGACTTTTCCAGCTCTACAAACACACGTAAAAACAAACACGCGCATACATGCACATGCACATGCACACACACATGAGCACGCACACACGTACGTGTGCAAACCCCAGAGAGGTGGAGCAGATCTACTGTCCGGTACGCGTGGACACTATCCAGAAGTTTCTCGGAAGAGATTTAACTTGTGTTCACTCCCGAAAAATTCCAGAAAATGTAAATAACTTCCTTTCTATCACAGAAATATACACAACTTTTAAAAGCCTTTCTGGTTATATTTATTGTTTGAAAACTGACACTGCTGAAATAATTGCAGCGTCAGTCACGTGGACGCAATAAATTGTCCACGTCGTGATCCTTTAGGAAAACCCCCAAATGGTTATATTCCAAAATCCGTACCAAGCTGCTAACTGAGGAACACGCCGCATTGTCTGCTCTGAGCCTTTCATTGGCCTTTAACCAGAAGCGATCAGCCTGACCTCCTAGGCATTAAAACCTCAGAGCGCCTCCTTGACACTCACCCTGGTATCTTACTCACCTGAATTGGGGTCCGTTGGAATATCTCTCTCTGTGAGGTCGTGCTGATCCCAGACGCAGGGGTGCTCTTCCTGTTTAATCCGGGACAAGAGGTCTTGGGCGGAGGCTGGTGAGTCTGTTTGTGGGAATACGGCGACAAAGGCGTCAGGGGACGCGATAGCAAGTCTGTGCTCTGAGTAAATCTCTCATTTCCTGCAATTATCTCTTTTCCCTAAAAATTCAGGCTTAAGTAAATGACGCTAATTAATTACAGGTTTCAGCCACCTTGGCCCCAATTATTGGAGCTTTCGCTGCAGATGGATGGATACTGGGGGGAGCGTCATTAACGGTGGCTGCAAAAGAGTCTTTCTGTGCTTCAGGAATTTTGATGTTTAGGGTGAGATTGACGCGTGAGCACAGAGCAGCACCGTGGACAGAGGTTTTCCTCAAGAGGGGCTTTTCCCGGAAAATGAGGCCTTCCGTGAAGCCTTACAGATTCACCATTTTATTGGGATTTTTCTAAGATGTTATGCTACCTCTTTTTTCTTTTGCAATCTGCTCAACGTCATTTACCTTTTCTTGCCTTACTATCTCTCAAAGCTCTCTTGGAAGATACTAATACTGTGATGCCATCCAAGGGCAGGTGATGATGTGACCGCGTACCTGCAAGTGTGAGGCTCTAAGGTTTGTAGAGCCCTAGCCTCTGGATAAGTTAATGAGCTGTAGTACGTTACAAGGTCTTGTGATGGGTAATTTTGTGACAGGCCACAGAACCCACATAGTTGGCCAGTCATCATTCTAGATGTTTCTGCAAATGTATTCTTTCTTTTTTTACAGGACATGGATATTTCAATCAGTAGCCCTTGAGTCAAATGGGTTGCCTTCCATAACGCGGGTGGGCCTCATCCCAACAGCTAAAGGCTTTCATAGAAAGAGACCGGGCACCCCCAAGGACGAGGGGGTCCGGCCAGCAGATGTGGACATGGCAGCCTCCACAATCGCTGAAGCCAAGTCCTTAAAATCAGTCTGTCTCTCTCTCCCTCTCCGCACATGGACCTACACCCACACTCACCATGTGGGTTCTCTGGAATAGTTAGTTGAAAATGGGCACAAAAAAGACAAGAAACAGGACAAGCTAAGCCCAGACATGAGGCAGATCGCCAAGTCTGTGCCCTTCTGGAAACCCTGTCTCTCTGCCCATCCTGGTCCAACTCCTCCATTTCCAGCTCTGGGCTCTGGCCTGGCACGCACGATGGACAGCGCCGGGGGCCATCCCACCACCCTGGGCCCTTCCTCTCCCTCCCTGGCTTGGGCAGCTCCCGGACTCACTCACCAGTAATGGACTCGGTGGGGATGGCTCTTTCCTCCAGGCCCCGCTGGCCCCGGACACACAGGGCTTCCTCCCGCTTCACCTGAGAGGACGAGTCCTGTGCAGGCACCAGCGGCTCCGCACCTGGGGAGAGGGAACCATGTCATTTGGTGTCCTTTCTGAACCATCATCACCCGGACGGACGTTCCTGGGGTCAGCAACGTGGCTGACGGCATTTGTGAGGGAAGGACCCGGGGGTCTCGGGTTTCTGGTGGGCAAGTGCAGGTCTCCCGAGAAGCAGCACGTCCTGGGAGCAGAGAAACAATCGGTATTTGGGACAAAGGGCTAGGCCTGGCTGCAAGATGAGGTGTAATAGGCTGGAGGAGAATTCCAGAAACAGCACCTGCTGGGTTTGGTGCTAATCAGGACCAGGCCAGGAGTTTGACCTCTGTGTAGGAGTCACCGATCTTCAGTGTTCACCCCAGTCAGAAAGAGGTGGCCAGACACACACACATAGTGTGCATTCAGACACAGGAGACCCATACACACGTGCACAAACCCACACATGCCATCAGAAAGTCTTCAGGGCGAAGGGACGCAAGCCCTCCCCATACTGGACGGCTAATACAGAGCGTACTTGTGCACACAAGACAGTGACCTATCCTCTGCGTACACCCCAAGATGTGAAAAGCAGGCCGCGCCCTTCTGATGTTCCAAGGTGTGATGTACCAGCCCCGGCAGCAGGCGGCTCAGGTGGAGGGGGACAGATTAGATGAGGGACTGGCTTCAATGCGGCGCCCAGCCCAGCAGGTGAGTCACCTGACCTCTCTGGCTCTGGGCCTGCTTGTTCCCCCCTCAACGTGGGCATAGCCATCACTGTTCCCGCACAGGGATGGATGAGAAGTTGGTGAGATGGAGGCTGACATACCACGATTGAAACGTGAACGCCTGCAGCTCTGGAAGGGGGAGGGAAGGGGTCGCTCAGATGACTGTCCAGAGACAGAGACTCGATCAGTGGAGGCCGGGGGCTGGGAGAAAGCATGAGTGACTGCTCGTGGGTCCAGGGTCTCCCATGGGGAAAATGTTCTGGAATTCGACAGTGGCGACAATCACACAGCTCTGTGAACCACTGAATTACATACTTTAAAAGAGTGACATGATGGCACATGAATTCTATCTCAATGAAGAGAACAGACTGGAAAGGATACTTTCCAAGGGATCTTCCTTAAAAAGGACAGAGTTCAGGGGTGCCTAGGGGGCTCAGTCAGTTAAGCTTCTCACTTTGTCTCAGGTCACGATTTCACGGTTCGTGGGTTCGAGCCCCGTGTCAGGCTCTGTGCTGACAGCTCAGAGCCTGGAGCCTGCTTCTGATCCTCTGTCCCCCTCTCTCTCTGCCCCTCCCCCACTCTTGTGTGTGTGCACACACACTCTCTCTCTCTCTCTCTCAGAAATAAACATTAGGGGTGCCTGGGTGGCTCAGTCAGTTAAGCGTCCGACTTCAGCTCCTAGGTCATGTGAGGTCATGATCTCACAGTTTGTGGGTTTGAGCCCCGCATCAGGCTCTGTGCTGACAGCTCAGAGCCTGGAGTCTTCTTTGGATTCTGTGTCTCCCTCTCTCTCTGCCCCTCCCCCACTCATGCTCTGTTTCTCTCTGTCTCAAAAATAAATAAACTGAAAAAAACTAAAAAAGGAGAAGGATAGAGTTCACACGATAAGGTGCAGGACGCAGCTCAGGGTTGGCTGCAGCAGGTGCAGCACTCCTCAGGAGAACAGGGTCCCTGGGGAAAGGCCCAGAGGGCGCACCAGGACAGAAGCCCCAGCACCTTCCATCGCAGCAAGAGCGGACCAGGTGCTAGGCTGTCGGTCACTAGATTTCCTCGGGACCGAACATCCCGTCTCAAATGGGGAAGGCGTGAAGGCCGAATCAGCCTATGGTGCGGCCCCAGCAAAACCACACATCCACATGGGCTCCCCGTCCACCCTGGGTCTGGGCCTGGCTGCTCCCTGGTCCCCAGCCTCTTGCTGCAGGCGGGGGTCAGGCCTGAGAGGCTGCGAGCCTGCTCCTCTCCTCTCGGCCCAGCTCGCCTGGCTCTGCTCTGACGGACAAGCCCGCTGCATGTAGGGCGCGGAAGCCTCTTCCCATAAGTGACTGCCATTATTTGGGGGGCGGCAGAACTAGACCCCAGAACAACTCCAGTGAAGCCCGTCTGGAACGCAAGCAAGGATGGCAAGGCTTCTCTCCTGCCCTGCCCTTGACCTGGGGCTTTCTTCAGCCGCCATCACCTGTGTCTGGATCCATTAGGATTTCTCTCTCTTCGGGGTCACGCTGCTCCCACACGCAAGGCTCTTCCCTGGGCTCAGCCTGGGATGGCGCATCCGGCTTGGGCACTGCGCCCTCCCCGTCTAGAATGAGTTGGGGGGGAAGCAAGGACACGATGAAGTTGACCAATGGATCCCCATCAAGGGCACCGGCAGATATCTCCCTCACCCCAAATGCCCTCCCCACCAGAGGGCCCCTCGAGGGAGAAGCCATTACGCACACCAACTAATCTCTTATGAGGAACCTTGAGAACGGGCGAACGGATTCCCAGGTTCTGGTGTGGAAACAGCTGGGCTCTGAAGGCCAGCACCAGACAGACCATGGCTCGTCCGAGGTGCCGACGATGCAGTCTGGCTACATTCCAGAACAGAGCGGCCGTGAGCTCAGTGCTATAGTGACAGTTCCTGTAACTAGGCTTTTAACCGCTGCGTTGTTATAATCGTTCTATCTTTAGAGCATTAAAAGCACAGTTTCTTGCATTTCCCTGAGGGATAAACACAAACACCTTGCCGGTGTGTGTGTGTGTGTGTGTATGCACACATGTGGGATGCAAGGCATTTCACTGCCCTCTGCACACACTGCCTGCCCAGAGGATGGAAGGCGCTTGCCGGTGTGTGTGTGTGTGTGTGTGTGTCTGTGTGTGTACACACGTGTGATGGAAGGCGTTTCGCTGCCCTCTGCACACACTGCCTGCCCAGAGGAAGGAGGTCGCTTACCCAGGGACACCAGGGTTTTGTAGTTGTGTGTGTGTGTGTACACACACATGTGGGATGGAAGGCATTTCGCTGCCCTCTGCACGCACTGCCTGCCCAGAGGATGGAAGGCGTTTGCCGGTGTGTGTGTGTGTGTGTGTGTGTGTGTGTGT